TGCGGCCAGAGCACCCAGAGTGCACTGGAAACAAGGAGAAAAGTGCAAAAGCATGCGGCCGGAGCACCCAGTTTGGTGGAGACAAGTGGGACAAGTGTAACATCACATGGCCAGAGCAGCCGAGTGTACTGTCGAAATGCACTTCAAGGATTTAGCCGCGCATGTCGGCGCAACACCTCGATTAGACACCCGTGCTTAACCCTTACTGTAAGAACCCCTATAGCGCGTCCACACTTTTTGGGTAATTACCAAAAGTCTGTCAGCAAACCATGGTGCTCATCAGCATCGGACTGCAATATGGAAACTAAGCCTTGACCTGAACATCCTTGTCTCCATCTATGCTATACAGGGCAACATGATTATTCCTTGCGCGAGCCATCTCCCAGCCTCCTACCTACCAGCTTCCTTGCAAAAATGCATAGCAAACCCAACCCCTACCAATCCTCATACGAATATTCAGTTTGTCCTGCGAGATGGTGGAGTATCTGCAGCGCAGACTGGCCGTTTGGATCGAAGGCTTATGGTTTCAGAACAGCCGCGCTCGCAGCATGAGCCAGCTGAAGCCGCGCCATATGCCCTACCTTCTGGCTTGCCTTCCTCAATCTCTGGCCCCAGGCCACTTCGCACTCCACCATAGTCCCCTAACAGGCAAAAGCTGTCACCAAGACAAAACATTTGGACCGTGCAAAGACACACCTTCAAAAAAAAAACATCTGTGATGGTGGGCGTGTTGGATGACAAGGGACATCTCTTTAGTTTCAATGCCCGCCGCTTTTTTTGCATTTCAAGTTTCTTCAGGTTGAAGATTTGGCTTTTTGCATTTTAAGCTTTTGACGTTTAAAAGCCCTGCCCCTTTTTGTGTTGGAAGGTATTTAGATTGAAAGTCTCATTGCCCGTTTGAGCGGTTTTAAGTATATTCCACTCGGGCGTCGCCAGTCTGGGTAACAGCGATGCTTTTTTAAAATCAACTCGTGGCAACCGCGCGCAAGGCTTAGTTGCAGTTGTCACCTTCGTCATCTGAGCTAGCTTTGATGACGCAGCCCTCGCATAAATCTCCTCACGCCTGGCCCCGTTGTCCTGCAAGAGTTCCCCGATTATGCCACTTCGTGCTCAACCCACACCATCCACGTTTTAATGCCTGAAACGAACTTGAAACCATCCTCGACCGCCTGCCGCTTCCTCCCCAGAACACTTGGTAGCCGCAACCAATTGAAAAGGAGACTCGCCTCTGAGCTAATCAAACAGGTCGACTTTTAAAAACACGGTCTTGTAAAACATTATAAAACACTGGGTAAACATGAGCGCCTAGACATAAACCTAGGCACTTTCTTCACACCACATCTTCAGAATAGACGTTACCCACCCACTCGCAAAAAGCATCGGCCATAACTTCCCGGCGAAGCAAATGAAATTCAGAGACCGACCACAGCTGACGTTCTCCGGCGAACGTGACCAGGAAGCATTCAGCAACATACCGAACCGCGTGCGCGCAACGTAGTCGAACAAGGAGGCGCGCAGCACGCATCAAGACACGGTCCGCACACGACGACGCTTCTTCAAACTTACCCTTCCTGGCCTTCTTCTTTTGCTGAGCGTTGCCATCCAGCTCTCCTCGCTCCAACTCTTCCTCCGCGGCGCCCGAAGGTTCCACAGTGCGAACGCAACGAGGAACAATACAAGCTATGCGTCCCCGTCCTGGTGAGGTCGCTTCTGCTCACCGCTCATCTTTTGCCAGGCAATAGAGGCTGCCTTCTTTACCGACGTACTATCCTGGGAAAAAGACCGGAGTCCCGATCGCCGTGTGGACGTCATGATCCTGTGCCCGGTGTCGACTCGGTGTCGACCTAAATGAAATGCATCCCTTTTCAATCTCAGAGCTTGTTCGCTTGAAAAGCGCTTGTTACATGATCACATACCGGTATCGACATCGAAAGGCCCGGCGCTACTCTAGTCAGCAGCGCAAAGGATTTGCCAAGCCTCGCGGGCCCCCTCTTGAAGTTTAAGCTTGTTTTTGCTGCATGCAAAGCGACAAAGGACAGCTACTAGTCTACTAGTCCCTCATACTCAGCTGCTCCCCCCTTAGCATTGTATAGGCATTTGCCTAGGTGTGAAGTGTCATTGGGAACTAAATGCGCACAAACAAACGGGTGCGGCCCAAGCACACGCGCACGCATACTTCACTTGCAACATCATCACTTACCATACTTGAGATATCTTGAGATGATGCGCCATCTACTGTATCCCGCTTTTTCCAAGCAGCATAAAAGTATCCGTCGAACTCGCGCATGTTGAGCCCTATCATCCGAGCCGCAATAGGCCCCTGAGCCACTGGCTGTCTTTGATGTCTTAGCCAACGGGCGCTGCAAAGTATTTACTTGCAATTACCACTTCCATCTGTTTCCAGCTGCCTTCGTTGACAAGCTTGTAGGTTCTGGTTGGCGCGCTAGTTATCCCACAAAATTGCATAAAATGAGCGCGCTGCTGGATACCTCCAAATTGAAACTTGAACCCACTCATAACCATGGATAATGTCAAACGTTCTGGGCACGCCAGTGACTATCTCTTCGTGACAGAACGGAAAGAATTTCACCGCAGGTCTGGAACCCACAGCATTTTAGAATTCAATCGCCACCAACACGAAAAACTCTTAAAGCCCTCTCGACCCGCACCGCAAGTCCCAATTTTCACGCCAGCCCTAACACCTACAAGTCAAGCCATCCCTCCCATTGAGTCAAATGCAATCTAAACTCTCTGTTGGCAATGCTCTAGAAAACCATCTTTCATGGCCAAGCCTCCTCAGCGTCAGCCATGACCGCTCACTCCGCTTGCTTGCCACGCCCCAGATACACAAGACATGAAACGCCCAATAGAAGCCTAGAACAAACTACGACTGACACCGCTTCAAAAACTCACGCAGAACAACGTTGAAATCAAGACTGCGCAGAAGCCAGCATAGATTGACAATGTAAGCACAGACGACATTAAATACACACCTGACCACCTTGCAGGCAAGTCTCGGCTTTTCGTCAATCTTGTTCTTGAATTTTGCAGCCGCACCCAAGCTCATGAGTGCAATTGTCTGCTCAGCATGTGATTTTGTCAGGGAGCTGCTCCCGAACTATATCTCACTTATGCTGATCATCCTTGCCATTATCCAGACCGGTAGTTGCCCAGCTCTTCAAATCACCCTAGACTGTAAAAAGCAAAGCATTACACCATGTTCGCTATGTTATGTAACAGACTTCACTTCGATTCCCGATTCCTGAGGTTCATGAAACAAAACGGCAGCAGCTTCAATTCAGCTTTACACAGTCCAACTTTTCAGCCACGCATCTTGAACATACTTCAATGTCCACATGAATAGGCGCACACGGTAAACAAGTGTAACAAGATGTAATAAGTGTAACAGAGCAGACCGAGACAAGTGGAAGACAAGTGTAGAATCACCCAGGGTGGGGAGACAAGTGAAAGACAAGTGTAAAATCATGTGGCCCAGAGCACCCAGAGGGTACTGGGAGGAGACAAGTGGAACTGCAAAGCAACCACAGTGCGGCAGGAACGCACGCCCGGAGACAATTGTAAAATCATACGGTCCGGGCATGCAACCCTTTCAAAGGAGTAAGAACCCCTCACAGGTAAACCTGATTGGGGAAAAACTGGGTCATTTGCCATGTGGCCGCGGAAAAGGATATAGCCGTGAAAACGTGTATATGGCCGTGGAAATCGGATATGGCCCTGAAAAGTTCAGCGTGATGTCTTTCTTTGTTGCAAAGTCCGCACCATTGGGGAATGCAATTTCCGTTTGGCTAGCTCCCAATATACTGAAAGCACATGCGTACAAAGCTCAACCAACTTCCTTCCGCTGCTGGCTGTGCCGGTTACTGTTGGGCCGGCTGGTGCTTTTTTTGTTGCTCCTGCTTTTTCTCTTGCTTCTTCTCGCTGTCCTTCTCTCCTCTCTCAAGACCGCCGCTGCCCTCGAACGGACACGGCACACCGTACAGATACATACCCCATGCAACAAGATGGGGACCAGCTGCAGGCTCTAGCCTAGCGAGGAGTCATGGAGGACATGGCGCTCAATCAGTCGAGAGTAGACACAGCTAAAGACTTGTAGCCTTGCGCCTTGCGACACACGAGCCCTGCAATTTCAGATGTGATTGAAGCGCCCCAGCAACCGGATATGTGTGCTAGGTTCGTGAACACCATGATCAAAGATCTGGGCGTGGCCAAGTGATCACGCAGCCACATGAGTGTGTAGAGTAGAGCAAGCTGGAAAGGCAGGCTGTAGTAGAACGACCACAAAGCACGCACGCTAATGGAAAATTGCGTTTCAAGCTGCGCATCCAGTAAATCTCAAGGCCTAGAGCCGATAGGCCGTGTGAAGGCAATGTTCAATCACGACTGTTCTCAAACTCATCAAAGACAGGGACTGGGAAGAGTAAGAGATTTGCATTTCTCTCTGAGAAGCCTCTAAAGCTCATTCTTCTCCAATCACAAAACCGCCAGCCCCAGGAACCGCTGTAAGTCACAAACCGCCGCGAACCGCGAACCAAACCGACACATGCACACGCCACACAAAACCGAACCGAACCGCCGGGTCCCCAAACCGACAACCGAACCGAAACGGTTGAATCATGTTGAATCTATAGAGTCTAGCTACACTCAGTCACGAAAGGTTTCCATTGCCAGTGTGTCTGCCAAAGTGAAAGAGTTGTCATTGAGACGCTGCGTTCTCTAATGCTCGGGAAAGTGTGGATATCTAAAACGCAGTTGATTTGATGCAGGATTGGGGATGGCCTTGAAAGTGCCAAATAGTGCAATGCACAGATTGCCAGTCTGGTGCTTTACTATGTCTTTGCAGTCGAGGCAATCTCCATTCTGTCACTTCGTGGGTCCACAATTCAAAGTATCGAGGGTAGATGATGGACCGTCTGCACCTCGTCTTAAATAAGTGGAAAAGTATGGAAAAGTCTTGTGGGGACCCAATTGTCACAGGTGCCTCATGTGGGGCGACCCAACTGAATCGCCTCCGGAACGCTCCTGGTTGCAGCTTCTTCTTCCGGGAGTTGTGCCACCTGGCTAAATCAAGAGATTTACAAAATACTAGAAAATAAACTGACATCATTCAGTATCCTTTTCTTGAGCCACCGTCACCAAAACTGGATCAATGCATGAGCTCTTTTCCACCACGCCTTGGCATAACGAAGCATCTCTAAGCCTGCTGAGAGCTTCGCCCGGTCACGTGCCTGGATGCGTCCGACTTTTGACAGTTAGAGTTGTCCACATTAAGAGGAGCTGTGAACTCTGCGAACTTTCCAAAAATCTCAAACGAGAAGGTGAACGTGGTCTTTGGTCATACCATTGTGATCATGTTGTGTCGTGGTCATGATCGGAACTGTCTTCATTTCATCGAGCCTCGAGTGCTGCACGGAGCTCTGACTGCAGGACTTGTACCAACTTCACGATGGCTTGCATAATTGCCGGATGCACCTGTCATCACTGCTTGAGAACACCAACGGATGCTGTTCTTCTCCATCACTTCCCGTAAGCTCTCCATTCCAAAAAAGTGTCTTCTCACTCAGCTGCTTCTCACCTCTCTTTGATCTTTCATTGGCGGTGCCTGCAAGCATCTGCGTCCAATAATGCAGATCATTTGTGTCACACCTACCGAACTCTTTGTGCTGCAGCTCTGTAAGGGTTCTCACAGCTGCAACAAGTGGGCTGGGTACAGTACCAAGCAAGCCAACATAACTCGAGCTTTCTTTTTTGGAGTCTTGAATATCTGCAAACGATGAGTTATTAATCAATTATACACTTGGAGCAAAAGCTCCTTGCGCTCAAATCAGCGCAGCTCAGGCTTGCAAGTTGTAGCTCGAACGAAACCACTCAGCTTGTCAAGCCATTCAGAACAATCTCCCACTGAAAACCGGCGGCAACGCCGGACATTGGATGTATATATATATATATATATATATTTGCCATGACAGGATTGCTGCGTCCAGCATCATGTTTTCTGAGTTTTGGCGATCTGTGTGAGATCGAAGTATGAGACCCTCTGCCGCAGAAGAAGTCGTAGTTAGTAGGTTCTTATTTCAATTAAGCTGAAGCTACATCAATGCATCAACCAGACTATTCTGACTTCTTGATTGTCAGTCTTGATCTCACACAAAACTTGCTTCAGGCCGACTTCTGTGCTCTTCGTTGATGCTGGGGATACTCATAGCATCCAATAGCTCTAGCTTGCATGCAACTCTCACGTGCGGTTCGGCTTGTAAATACCTCGGCTGGCACATCCAAGTAGACCCACTGAAGCGACTCAAGGGCTAAAAGAGTACAAATGCCACATGAAAGTGTGTCCAAAGCGAGAAAGCTAAAAAGTAATTAGAGCGGAAAGTAGCCACAGACCCTCTCATTTTGGGGACTGAATCAGTGTGGGACATGAACACAGAACATCACTGGAGCTTTTTGAGGTACCATGGATGAGGAGCTTTGCAGAGCTTTGCCACAGTGCAAACGAGAGGCTTTTGGTCTGCAGTGTCGAAGCCCGGACCAAACGCTGAGATCTTCCTTGGGGAATCGCCTGAATCATCGCAGAAAGAATAAAAGCATAACCACCAACAGCTTAAAGGCTTAAAGAAGCAAAACTGTACGCGAGTCTGAATTTTGGGGAGTATTTTTGGGATTTGGTATCGATAACAATGTCATGGAAAAATAAAGGCAACATCACAATGGAAAAGGCAAAACCATGACCACCATGTGAGGAGAAACCAACAAGCACAAAGCCAACCGATATCATTTCAACCATGTTTGGCCTCACGATATTTTCGAATCAGCAGGATAAAGTCATCCACGCCTTGGCTTGCAAGCCGGTGTTCCCTTTGCAATCGGGACATCACAGAAGTGGTCCTAGATCTATTCTACCTTCACAAACACGAATCGGCGCATCGGCAGCGAAGCGAAGCCAATGTGACACGCAGTGAGGTGCGGAATGGTAAATGGTCAACGGTATGGCGCGAATGACTTAAATGTCATAGGCTCAATGAGACTCATTGTGATGGCAAATGATATCACGGCTCTATATTTGCATAGGAACAAGTGCCACGCTAGTAGTAACAAGTGCCTTACTAGTAGTAACAAGAAGCTATTAGGAACAAGTGCCACGCTAGTAGTCACCTTCTGTCGCGGACATGGAAGAGATCTAATCATTCATCTGTCGCCAGATCTGCTCACGGCACTGGCAGGTCCACCGATCTACGCTGAGATGCTTCTAGTAGCTTCTTGTTACTAGTAGTACGGCACTTGCTCCTAGTAGCGTGGCACTGGTTACTACTAGTAAGGCACTTGTTACTAGTAGCGATGCACTTGTTTCTAGTAGCTTATTGTTTCTCTGAGATGCTGGAGCATTGGCGAACCTGCGACTGGAGAAAGGGAAACTCCTGCAGCTGGCTTTCCAGGATTGGCTCCAAGCGATCTGCAGCTATACCTCGCTCAAAACCAAAGTTCAACAAACTGTATGATTTGTTTACATGCAAATTGTTGCTCTAGAACTAGAACCTATATGTATAATGATGACGAAGAACTTGCTCGTGGCATTCATGTATGTACTGGTCTCATGCTGTGAACACGCAAAACATCACAAAACTCTTGTACTATATACCACCTTGGTGTATCTATGTGCCAACTGCAAAACGACGGCCGTTCCTTCCAAGGTACGGCCAGTCTGCCCAAAGGTGTTGGCCATGCAAAACAACGTGCCACGATCAGCACACCTCAGGCTCCGCGCCTATTGTAGCCAAAACCAAAAACAGTGACACAAGTGACACCGGCAAAAGAAGTGACACAAAGGGTGTGCCTAATTCGACACTTCCGTTCCACTGTGTCTCAGCACTCTTGCTTGAACCACAAATAGAGAGAGAGAGAGAGAAAATGGATCGAATAATGATCTATAGTCACATATAAAGATGTTTCAATATGTTTCACCACCCACACACTTTCATGAGCTTTCTTGGCGAATCGCAGCACATCTCAGTCATCCTGCCGTTCGTCAGGAGACTGTACTGAGAAAAGCAAATATTACCGCAAACACGCTGCTGAGGTAATGCACCTCAAATGATTTTGAGCCGTTGACATCGCAGTCTTTGCTCTGTCCATCTTCGCATGGATTTGTCAAGCTACAATTGATATAGCAGGCATAGTGCAAAAGTACTTCGATGGATTCCTTTCCCCTAGCTGTTGTCGAGCTTCCATTTGGAGTATATTCGAAGTTGCAACAAGACTTCTCCTTGATACACTGCGCATAGGACTTCATTGCCTCGCAAGTTGGTGATACCCAGGTCATCTCAGAATTACAGGCTTCAACTTCATCATCGGTACATGCTTGTCCGCAGCCTTGCAAGGTTCTGCCAAAGAAACCTGCCAGGAACAAGACCATGACGGTAGATACCTTCATGCCACAACCGAATCGGCTTCAAGACGCAACCCGAGCTACGTAAGTGGCAAGTCATGTTGTCAGCTCTGAAATGTCCACTTGAGCCAAAACATGTTGCAGTGAATGAGAAGTCACAATAATTAAGTCAACTGTCAACCTAGAATACATAAGCTACTAGAAACAAGTGCCCCGCTAGTAGTAACAAGTGCCTTACTAGTAGTAACAAGAAGCTATTAGAAACAAGTGCCACGCTGTCAACCTTGTTTCCTAGAGGCTCTGTGGAGTTACATATGGCTCCAATTTGGTTCAGATTCGACGGCCTTGACCAAAGCCAGGTAACGTCTTGGCAAGTGCCGTCAAAGTTTGAACGGCTGTCGTATCCATAAAGGAAATAGCAGAAGCCTGACAATGACATTTCAGCTCAAGGAAGACAATCACCGCAATAAAGCACGGCCAGCTTTCAGGTTCGAATTCCAGCAATATGTCAGATGGGGTGAGTCTGAGATACTCTGAGTGGATTGCCTTCACAGGTCAACTAAGTCCTTACGAGTCCTAAGAATACAGTACCCATTCAGGTCATTTGAGACATTTCATACACCCGTCTACAGTGAGGAACATGCATCTCAACATACCTACCCAGCCACAAAAAATCTGTCTGAAGCAAAACACGAGTTGAGTTGCCCGTGAATTCTCAATTGTGTCAGGACTCCGAAAGCACGATACCATTGACATCTTCCTTCTCTTGAATCTCCAATTCCTGTGCGAGAACAGTGTGCATTCCTGCCCCAACCTAAAACTCTCAAGTCTTGGCCTATTCAACAATTTCATGTAGGCACATCATCACGACGGGGACGCCTTATGTGCTTCCAACGTTTCCCCCCTGCCATCGCATACAATCCGACGGTTCCTTGCCACCAGAAACAAACATCCCGTGCGGCGAAACTGTGATTTATGGCTTTGCCCTCCTCCTCTTCTATCCACTCCTGTAGCCGTTCAACCTGGGCAAAAATTGTTCATGTTGTTACAACAAAAACATTTCACATGGAGACTCCAATATATGTGAATGATAATTGCTTCAATCAACTGTATGTATATTATTACATAAATATATGTATATATACACATGTCACGTGTCTCACGCAATACTGCCTAAACTATCCCGGTCTTCCACAAGTCATTGGCCAGGTAGCTGCCTAATATGGGACAGCAGCATGGATCAAGCCATTCCCAAACACGTGCAAGTTGCTGGTTTTCCATCGAGCAAGGCAATGGCAACATAAAACCAGATCTTCAGGAGCCTCTGGGGCCCCAGCATTGGCGTAGAAGAGAGGACCTTCCAAACGAAGAACCAATATGCCAGGCTCTCGCAAGGCACCTGCGGACTTGTGGCCAGGACAAGCTGGTTGAAGAACACATTGCAATGCAGCTAGCTCACCACTGGGCAGATCGGCGGGCCATTCTACTGTGTCTTGTGAAGCATGTTGTTTTGACAAATCTGAAGGATCTTCAGCTCCCGACCAGCCTTCCCTTTCGACAGACATCCATTTCCGCGCCCTGGGACAAGACCCAAAAGGAACACAAAAAAGCTTAGAACAGCTGCAAGCAGCCTGGTGATAAAAATGGCAACAACTTTCCATCCTGTTCAAAAGCGTGGTCATATCAGGTTTCTGAAATTAATCCATGTTGTCCTTGCTGGCTTTCAAGCTTTGAGATTAGGTTCACAAAATCACGCTAGTCTCGTCTTGGCCCTGACAGAACGAATGGCAACGCTTTAAATGGTCCTTTGGATCTCGCTGCGGAAAGGCACCTCTTCGCGTCGATTTCATCCCCTTCACGGAATCCGAGTTGTACAATATCTGGATTCACCACCTGCCACGGTTTGCTACTTTGGTGTAGAGTAGCAGTAGAACCCTCAAACAGTTCACGACAGTTCGATTTGCGGCACCATGAAGCAAAGTATGAGCAACCACATGGTGCGACTGAGCAGCAAAACAGAGATGCAAATGTCGCCCTGAACGGTTGTAAGCAAAACCAATTCTCTTCGTTCTCGATGACTTGTTCTTCCTGGAGGCCTCCGCTTTCTTAAAGGGGCCCTTACCTTCTTTTTGTTTATCTCATTGTATGCAGTCATATAATGTAGTGATCTGTGGTGCTGTGTACTATGTGGTCATGTTCTGACAGTTCTCGCGATTCCCTACGATATTTGGCGCGCGACCCGTGGTGATGCTTACAGGTCGGCAACTCAGCCGCATTCCTTCTTGTCATTGGTGAATGTCAGAATGTTCCATCCCCGGACATGCCCACAATTCTTGAAATAAATCATGTAACATATTGTAACCCCTTCGCCGGCGTCGCAATCCTAACCTGGTACAAGATGATAATCAATGAAGCGAATACAGCTGACAGCATACCTGGTCCATGTCTGCTTCTAACCCTTAGGGTTGGAACTTGAAGTTCGCGACGAACATCTAACAACTTGATTTTTATTTGAAATCAATTGCAACTTCGGGATGATGGAACTTAGAAGCTTCGTACAATACGGGTGGCTATGGGTCAAAATATCACCGGTGACGGGCCAAGGAGGCCACAGCCAAACCATAATAAAACCTGCAAAAGTAGCATGAATGCACTAAGCCATTAATTACTCCTTTAATATGCAATTTGCAGTGGATAACTTTCTGTAACCAGAAACTCTATGCACCACATGGCGTGCAAGCTGACTCTTGATCAGCTTCGACATGAATGCTTTCCAAGAAGCCCTGGAAAGCTCCAAAGTACAGCGTGCAACCTAAAGCTTCACCAGTGCTCAGGGTGTTCATCGTTGCTGCCAAAGCAAACCCAAGTGAATCCAAGTCCAAATGCAGCACACCCAAGATCTCCCTCTGTACAAGCTGTCCGAGACAAGACAAACCAAGTTGCTGAATCCAATGACCCAAGTCAGCATATCACCTGGCGCACTGTTTTGTTCAACCGATATGCGTGTGTTTCCTTGGCTGATCCAGCCTCGGGTCTTCCAATTGTAGCGCTCATTGGTGGCATATGCCCAAAGCTCATGGGCCTGAAAATGGACTTAATCTACTTTGTGGGACTGTTTTTGAACAAGAGGAGTCGCCGAAGAACCCCGATCTGTACAACTCAGCTTCCTCTCTTAAAAAGGCCTTTCACCTACTGCATAGGTCTTGCTCCAACCTCAAGGAAACTCATTAAACATAATTCTTTCATAAGTCAAAGCAACCTTGCAGGGACACCAAGCATCTTCTTGAATCAATGCCCTTTCTTCAGCAACGGTAACTCTGCTCTCACTGATCTCCTATATAATTGCATCATATTGGATCCATAAATGAGTGTTCCTCCTAATGGCGTTCTGCTCAAGTTTGTGCCTGGTCAAACTCGGTGAGATGTGACGCTCCATTCACGATGATAGCGTTGAGAACGCACATGGGCACATGCTCAATGTACCTGTTTCGCGTGGTCATGTGTTGGATGGGCATAACGGTTTAACGTGACTTAAACACATGACAAACTCCGGACTGCAATCCTATCTTCTGCAGTGAACCTTTGCGCATGGCACATCAATCATGCTAGACTCTGCACCCACAACGCCTGCTGAAAAGGACAACTCCAGCGCAAACCACCACCTTAGATGCTGCCGGCGCTTCCCCGTGTGAGCCACCACAGTTGGCATTCAGGAATTTCCAGCACGAGACATACTCAGCCTAACTCAAGTCTCAAATCCTATGGAGCCCTACAGGAAGGAATGTGTGAGTTGCACCCGATGATAATAATCAGAAGCTGGCGATGGAAAGGCAAGTCATGCAAATATGGGTCGGCAACATCCATCTAGATATATTTAGAGATCAATAGACTCAATAGACCAACAGAAAGCACTCAAGAGTAACAGGACCACTTGACCTGGTTTGCTGGTTGTCTACTTGCTTAGTAAGGACATAGGGCACAGGCCAACTACCAATGGCTGACAGGCCGCGCCCACCAGGATGTTGGCCCCAAGCTGGCTCCGGACGCCTGCCTTACAGGATGAAGTGTGCGCCACAGTGTGAGCGTCAGGGGAAGTTCTAGCGGTGTTGAAGACAATAGAAACGCTTATTACTGGCCTACACTTGATGTGGAGGTGCTAATATGAGCAAGTGTAGTGGAATCATTGCTGAGACTGGGTCGAACAGAAATTGCCCACGCTGTTAATCTCTGTAAACAAACCTGATGAGACAAACACCATAAAATGACAACCATACATGTGCACAACAATGTGAAAAGAGAAACCATCAACCTAATCATCCTACCCAAAACAAAACAACTGGTCTCATAAACTTTGCGCCTGATGAGCGATGCCCATTCCTTGGAAAGCTGAGCCTTCCTTCATCCGTGATCCGATTTGACTAGTTCTTTCTACATCTACCTGAGCCCCTAGTAGCTTCTTGTTCCTAGTAGTAAGAATGCTCCTAGTAGCGATGCCAGGAGCCCCTAGTAGCGTCCTTGCTCCTAGTAGTAAGGCCAGGAGCCCCTACCTTTTGCTTTGGGGAGTAATTAGACCATTATGTTTCTACTACATTCTACTTCGGTGTGTCCTGATCTGGACACACTCAGTCCTGCATGCAAGTTGGCTGTGAGTGTACAATCACATTAGTAGTACTGATGCTTGTCCGTGCATACTATATTATCTCCCTGTAAGTTGATGCTCTATATAGATTTGGATATATAAGTGCACATCTTTTTTGCACTTGCTTCTCTTGCTGCATATTTGGCAATCTTCGAATGCAATCGGGCGACTGCTGAGGCCAATCTGTGTCGGCACAGATCCACAGAACGCTCCCAGGAAGTTGGCGAAGCCCAGCGCCATGAGCTCGTTGAAGGCGCGGATCTGATATCCGTCCTGGACATTGAAGTCACTTCAGAAGTTGCTCCGCATTGCTGTATGCCGTCGTCCGATGTCACTCACATGTCTTCAGATTGTGCTTCACCTCCGTTTTGTCCCAACACCCCTTCAACGCCACATGCCCTAGCCACACCAAGCTCCGGAGAGCAATGAGGAACCCCGAATCATGCGCTTCGGCCTTCATGGCGAACTTCTTGGCACCCGCAAAGGAGGAAAGGAAAACCACGAAAGCCACTAGGATGGCTCCCGGCAGTAACTCCTCCCAACGGGCCACAAGGGAACACCTGGGTGTGAGATGGGGCAACCCACGTAATGTCAACGTCGGATTAATCAAGCGCCCCCCCCTTCAAGGTCAACAAGGTTTGAGATTGGAGGATTGGAGGTATTGGAGGACCACATCCCCCTAATAAAGGTGATGACCTCGACTGGATGATGCTAACAACTTGGAAAAACAAAATAACAATAAATATAAGAAATTCGTATTTGTTCTGGTGCAGCTGGGCTTGATTAATATGGGTGGGTTGTGGCCAGGAAAAAACTATTAGGGGGATGTTAAGGTGGAAATTCAGGCTTTAGATTAGTTTAGTATTGGGAGCTCGAGCTGGGCTTGATTAATATGGGGCGCTTCATTAATCTTAGGTGCGCATAACTACACCCAAAGTGGGTTGATTCTTGTTTATTCCAAGAGATGCTTTCATTCTTAACAAAAATAACCAACATGCATCGTGCTTGATCTGTGAACCGCAGAAAAGAAACTTGATTTTCATGCTTTGGTTGGACGACTATTATATATATATATAAATATATGTGCACACTGGACACTGGCCGACGGTAACCCCAAAGCGTTCAAATGGCATTGCCAGGCATGTCTCCTTCGCAACTCGAAGATCCTGCATGCTTTGTACCTGACGGTTCTGGTCGTTGGCTTCTGGATCAAAGCCCTGCATAGACAAGCTACAGCAAGTGAACCAGATTCAGTCTGGAAGATTCTGGAAGTATTAATCTAATACAATGAAAGAGCTCACCCTTTCCCGATCAGGACGAATCAGTATGCATATCAATATGCACATGTTCTCTTCTCCAATGTGAACAAATCTCAATCCGAATTCCATGCCAAGCTGCAGGAGGCACGAAGCTCGGAAGTCCGGAGGGCATTGTCCCGACCACTTTAATTTGAAACTCCTCTTCAACCTGTGTGACCAAGATCCGATCGCATGGGTGTACATCCCGACCAACCCGGTCTAGTCAAATTGCATCTGCATTCATATTTTCCGCTCTTGTTTGCTCGGGCTTGGAACTGAAACTTTGCTCCACCAACACCAACACTTTAAACATGTTGCAAGTTGCAAGGTCGAACTTGTTGAATCGAGGAGAATCACAAGTATATAACTAAGAATCCCAGAAGCCAGCCAGTCAGCCATCTACACCGACACAAATGGCTTTAGTGGTCCTTTGCTTTATTGAAGTCAGTTCAGGTCAGTGACCTCGGGATTGTAGTAGTTGCAGAAAATAGCTGACAGTGCCAGCAAGACCTCGATGCAACACTCGAGCGGAATTGAGAGAATGTCAACGATACTTAATGATCCATATCAACAGTCCATTGTGAAGCACTATGCATGATATCCATTGATATCCATATCCAATATCAATAGGTTGGTTTCAAGTCATCTAACATACCAGATGCCTCGAGATGCCTCGAGCGCATCTGAGGCATGCTAGTTCTTTGATCCGAGCTACTAATTCTTTGAAGTCCCCAATGAACTTCAGGTATTTGACCTGCTGTGAGGTCGCAGGGCCAATCGATCAAACCGCCACAACCGTTGATTTGTCCTCATCTATAAAACGATTTGAGTATGGGAACATTTTTTCTGGAGGACTGAGGACAACTGCAAGCATCTAATCAATCCTTGTGAGAAACGCCCGCCCAGCCTGCCTTCTTTAGAATCTTGGCGTTCATCAGAAAAAATGACAGCCACAAGACTCAGAGCGGTTGTTGCTGGGTCCAGCAGCTCCAAATACTTGATATGATGCCTCAAGTCGGCCCGATGCTCATCTGCCCTTTTGTCCTGCTTGCCAAAAAAAACAGTCACATGATGTCACATGATACTGAATCCTGTCAAAGCAAAATGAAGTGAGCGCTATCTGAAAAAGCACCAGCCTTATGATTCTATCTTATGATGCATCCTAAGAACTGACTGTGATGAGCACTTCTTGGAGCTATATTAGGACCCATTACAGTATCCCTGCAGAAACTCAATAGAAGTAAGTAAGGTGAAGGCAGCCAGGATCAGTTTTCTGGTGGCAAAGCTGACAGTTGCCATGCTGAAACTTGAGGTTCCCCACTTCACGACATTCACGATGCCGCCTTTGCTGGCCCAGCTGGGCAGGCCCAGCATTGGGGCCACCTGCCATTCTGAGATTGGAACTTTGGAACCTCACCTATCTGAGAGCGTCGCTGTATCACGTCCTGTGGCAAAGACTGGACATCAAAGAGCCGAAGCTTGGAACCAGCTCAGTGCGGCTCACTAAGTCGAGTGTTACGTCCATGGTCCTGACCTGAGAAAGAATGATCAGCAAAGCGCTCGCTGTGATGAAGCCTGAGACGAGGCAATCCGATATCCGGCCACACTATTGCGCTAGGGCCCTCGGCCCTAGGCCAGGGCATTCAGCAGGGGAAGCAGTTGGTTGAAGGGACAGCTGTGGCGAACATACTGTGATGTACACAACGGGGGTACTGCACATCGACATTTTGTTCTACAAATCTTCAGCGCAAGAAGTTGCAGGCAGAGGGACCGCTCAATGCAGGCCGCGAAAGAAAGCGGACTAGGAATGACAACTGCAGAAGTCCCATGATGGACATAATGATACCTCGGAGAGGCATTGTGTGGCAGGTGACAAAACTCAAGAATTTGTATATTATCCTTCGTAGTCATGAGTCATGATTCACAATGATGAGGTATGCTGGCTTTTGAAGCTGTACAATGCCAACAGAAAACCATATACAGTATTATACAGTCGTAGATCTCTGCCAAACATCACATAGCTTCATTGCATATGCGGCACTGCTACCGTTGACCTAGATTTACTTCATGCAGCAGCCACAAGTAAGGATGCAAAGTTGGACAGGGTCTGATGTTCTCACCTTACTTCTTTCGGGGGAATCGCATGAAGCTGATTGTCACACCAACCAAATGAATCACCAGCCACCAACCCATCACCTAAATGAACAAAGTCAAAGCACAAAGGTACCTCACGCACCTGGTACCTACCTAGTCACTTGCAGGAAGCCGCCGTCAGCATTGCAGCAAAGGGGCCAACCAAGGCTGTGAGGATGGCTGCCTTTTGAGTGCGTTCTGCCAGGTCCCCTTGGTCCGCCAGCACCTCACATGAAATAAGCCGCTTCGGCCCCGGTTGATGTCTTGGGTTCCTTCAACCGAGATCAAGCGGAGAGACATGTCATGACAGCCCATGGTGTACAACCCAAATGACCTCCCGTGTGGTCCTCGTTCCTTGCCTCGCCAGTCAAAAGGCTCACAAGTCCACCAGTTCCAACCGATGCATGGACACCTGAGTACGGCGCCGGACCCTCGCAGTTTCGAGCTCGTTTGAGTGGCATTTCCCTGCCCCCATCTTTACAAGAACGCGAGCATGGTCAAAAGAAGGGAGAGCAAGGAAGGTCAAACAGTTAAACAACTAAAAATAAACCGGACGGAGACAATAAAAACACATCAAAGAACAGGATCCATGTGCCAAAGATTTGTTTCGAGCTCTGTTAGATGGCATCTGATTGTGTTGTGACGTTGAATCATTGACTGTAGTATGCTCGTGCATGCACTTATGTCCTAGGTCCTATATACTTGCACTGACTGATCCTGCCAATACCACGGTGTGGGCTGAGTTCCAAACAGGTACCAAAAATGGCATAGACCATGGGAGGCAGCATGCAACCTTGCTGTGGCATGAAAGTTGCACAAAAAACGTATACAACGTCAACAACAAACCTAGTATCTAGAAGATGTTTATGTCAAGTACAGCAGGCTCCCATTGGAGATGACGGGTTTCGCCTCTAAGTGACGCCACATGTACATGTGACATCATGGGACAAAGTCTGAAATATTAAGAATCAATCTAACTTCTTGCAGTGGAGTCTCTGTATGGTCCATTGATCAAATCAACCATGCACCTCAGGCCGATTGAGGCCTTTCAACCCTAGTATCATCTCTCATTACTGACCTCAACCAAATGCGTTTATAGGTAGGAGAGGAAATACATTCTCAACTAGCAGTAAGATATATATATATATATATGTGGTACCCCCCCAAAACCCACCCATTCATCAATTCACTGGTATTTATAGTGTTTTAAGCACATCTTTTGATATTGCAAAATAGAAAACAATGCACTTTACAATGACAATCAGCAACAAAACAACAAACCAACACAACAAAACATAGCATAGAAGAACATGTTTGGTGCAGCCTCAAAATACCTTTTTGTTTTCATTGTGTTTTTTGGCAGTATTCTAGTACAATAAACCTGTAGAACAACAAAGACAAGTCTTTTTGGCTTTTGGATTTCATAACAAAAAACAAAAATCACAATGAACACCAAAAACATCTTTTGAGGCTGAACCAAACATTCTCCTCAAAGTCTTTTTTTGCTTTTTCGGCTTTGTCTGTGCTTTGGTCCTTTGGGTTCTTGCACAACCTGTAAATTTGTATTGGAAGTTGACTTAGATTTGAACTTGAATTGAAACATATATAACAAAATTTTCATTGAAATGTAAAAAGTTTCTTGTATTTCCAATGATCTTTACATTTAGATCTAATTCAATTCTATGTTAAGCTTAAATGTTTTACAATTTTAGCCTATGTTTTTACAAGAATTGACGTGATGTCAGAAAATAAAGCTTTTGATGATCATATAAATTACCCTATTGAATTCTAATTTAACTTCTATTTAGGTCTAACTTAGTTTAAAGATCAAATTGCACTTTCAAACTTGAACCTGGTTGAATTCAAAAAGGAATCTTCTGATTTCTAATTGAAGTTTAGTTTCAATCTCCAATTTGATCTTAATTCAGTTTAATTAAATTTGCATTCAATTCTAATTTAGTACCATTGTAAAAGTCATTTGGTTTCTAATTCTCACTCAAGTCTAATTCTAATTCATGATTGCAGTAACTGACTTCTAACTGAGCTGCAGGTTAAGCAGTTCTATTTCAATTGTACCTTAATTCTTTTCCAATTCTACTTGAAACAATGAAATTTTCTTTCAATCTTAGTTTAATTCCAGTTCAAATATAGTTTAAGTATAATTTGCTTTTTACACTTATCTCGAAGTTAGTTCTAATTTATATAGTTGTATGTCATTTTTATGTGGTTTTTAGTTCAAATTATTTTGGAATTAACTTGTAGTTTCCGCTAGTTTAAAACTTTTACAATAATTCAGTTTCAGTTGTTTACAAGTTTTGCTTAATTCTAATTTAGTCTTAATTCGTTTCTAGTTCAATGTCAATTTGGTTCCAAATTAAAGCAAGTTGAATTCAAACTTAATTCTGCCTTTATTCTAGAGAGAGGGTTTTGCTGGGGTGTGATTTTAAGAAAACCACCTTTAAGAAAGCAATACATAAATTATATACAAAGCTTGGTCTTTTAAAAGCAGCACGCACTCTCTAGAAGCGCATGTAGAATTGCATAATAACCCACCAGATGAAACATTAGATTGGATTTTACTTTTCAAGTAATTTCAATAGTTCAAGCAAATTAAAAAATAGTTCAACTAAAATTCAAGTAAACATATATTAAAACTTTTTGAGATCAAACTAGAACAAACTATGAACAAACTATAATAAGCATAAGCATTTCATTATGCCTGTTTTTACAACAGTTGTTTTGAAACAAAAACCAAACTAGCTTCATTTTAGGCATACTTGGTTAAACAAAAAGGTCTAACCAATTACAATAAGATTAAAGCAAAACAACCGCATAAATTTATGGGCTCTGCAGTTTTGATATTACGGTATTGTGGGTTACCAAAACTGCACAGCCCTATGTCTCCAAAGTGGATCAGGCCAGGGCACGGCAGTTTTGATATTGTGGTATGGTGGTTTTAGAGGGAAAACCAACGTACCAAAGGACCCAAGCTGCACAGGTCTATATCCCCAGAGTGGCTGAGGTCAAGCCATGGGGTTTGTGTAGTTTGGGATTTTACATGTTGGTTTTCAAGAGAATTTGTCCCCCCTGTAAAAAAACACCTAAGTTCAAAAGTTCCAAAACTGCAAACCCCATGACCTGACCATAGCCACTCTGGGGACCTAGGTCTGTCTTTGGATGTCTTTGGAATTTTGGAGGCCCCGCAAAGTTCCAAAGTTCCAAAACTGCAGACCCCATGACCTGACCATAGCCACCTGGGGACCTAGGTCTATGCAGCTGTGGAACTTTGGAACTTTGGAGGCCCCCCAAAATTCCAAAACTGCAGACCACATGCCCTGACCATAGCCACTCTGGGGACCTAGGTCTATGCAGTTTTGGAACTTTGGAGGCCCC